TGACACTTCTCAAAACAGAACTGATTGTATTCCATTATTCACTACTGACTCTTTGGACCAACAACAAAATTTTAGTTTGTGTACTTACATGAAACAATTTCAATTACCAGGACATTACTATGTCACAATATGTACCTATCAAGCAGACATAAGAGTTGATGTCCGAATGTATCTTAATGATAGACCTACAATCAAAGGACTCTTTCTGAACACAAATCAATATGAATATTTAAAAAGGTTGATACCACATATTGACAAATCTATAAGCAACGCAAGAGCAAGAATAGGACAATGATAAAAGAGAACCTGGTGGAATTTTCATGTACTATATACTTTTATGTATGTATATATATATATATATAGGAAATAATCATATAACTATAGATCAGACTGATATCGCTATGAGTGACGAAAAGACGCTTCTCCCCTTTTCTTCCCCGACAACACTGTATATTGCCGGTCCGACGCAATCTAGAAAATCGATGTTCACCAAAAAACTCATCGAGAATGCTTCAAAAATGTTTACGGAAACACCAGATAGAATCTTGTATGCTTATTCCGAATATCAGACATTGTTCGACGACATGCAGAATATTCCAAATTTAACTTTTCAAGAAGGACTACCAGACAAACAGGAAATAGACGAGTTTACCCTAAATACGAAACATGCTTTAATTATACTCGATGATTTAGTATCTAAAATTGTGCAATCCTCCGACCAATTGCATTTGTTTTCTGTAACCAGTCACCACAAAAAGGCATCAGTGGTGCTGATTTCTCAATCTTTGTATCCGCCAGGGAAGTTTTCGAAAAGTATATCCCTGAACTGTGCTAATTTTGTCTTGTTTCGTAATCCACGAGATATGCGTCAATTGACAACATTTGCCTCTCAGATACTTCCTGGCATGACAAAATATTTTAATGATTCTTATAGGAGGGCAACTCGGGAAAGATTTAACTACCTTTTTGTCGACCTGTCGAATCAAAGAGAGGACAGAGAAAAGTTTATGTTACGCACGGGAATTTTCCCCAACGATACTTGTGTGGTTTACAGACCAGTATAAAATAGACACCAACCCATCTTGACTTTTAATTCTGTTTTTGCTGACAAACATGAGCGGTCGTATGAGATCCAACTCAGTGTTATTGAAGTTTCTGTACAAGACAAACAAAAAGCAAAGAGTGACTGTCCTATCACACCTTAGTAAAGCAGAAATAGAAGTTTTTTCTGAGATAGCTCTGAACATTTATAAAGGAGTGTTTCCAAACAAAACGAAATACGTGAACACTTTAAAACCGTTTAAATCGATCGTTTTCAGACTGGGATCAAAGTCGGTGAGTAGTCAAAAGAAGAAGAAAATTCTGATCCGATACCAAAAAATAATTCCACTCTTAATACGACCTGTTTTGGAATTTCTGTAGCACGATCATAATGGCTAAAGAACTGATATTATTAGCAAAGAGAAAATACGAAGAATTATTGGCATCGCAACCTTCAGCTAATGAAGACAATCAAGAGGACATGAAATATTCATCTGACCCTCCAGTAGATGTTTCATCACAAATTGGAAACGGCTTATTTGTTGAAAAAAATGATGATAATTATGCAGGCACGCCTGGAGTTCTCAAACATCCCTCACCTAAAATAAAAAATGCGAGACGGAGAAAGAAAAACGTAAAATGGATACCGAATTGACTCTATTTTTTTTTTTGTATCTGTGTAAAATAGTAATAATAAAACAATAGAAATTGACAAGTATTTTATTTATTTGCTACAATAACCAAACGGTAAAGTACTAAAGTCATTCAAGAGCCGTCTCTTGGTGTACACCATTTTGTATTCTTTTTGCTCTGGTCTGTTATACAATTTTCGTTTGCAACCAAGTCTAGAAATTTTTCGGGGATTAGTGGTTAGGATCGAATTTCTGTTTTTGTCAACTACAATATCTCTAATCGCCGAAAAATTGATAAGCTCTTCATTCGCTTTAGTTTGGAGAGAAAATCCTCTTACTTTACACTTTTCCTTTCCTGATACCATCCTGTAGGCGTAATTTTTAGGGCCACCGGATACGAAATGAGTAATATACCCGTCTTCAGTCGAAATTTCGTTGGTCAGTTCACCCAATTTGTGATTTGTTTGTTTCTATCTACAAATATGGCGGAATCAGTATCCACGTAAAGAGTGTTCTCGTCCGTCTTCTCGAGTACTTTATAGAGACTAATTCTAGCCCAACAAGTGGTAAAAGAGGCAATAAACACGTTGGTTTTGTAGTCTATAGGTATGAAAGACGGGTAATCGAAATGTTCCGTCTGTACGGTATTTTCATTGATGATGTGAAAGTCCCTTACGTCCTTTTTTGGATCTGAAAGTAACTGAAAGAATTTTTCGGCTTCATTTTCGGTAAAAAATGTGGTCTGTTTCATGTTTAACCGTTGTCCAAACTTTCCCCAAAAACTATTCAAACAAATTTTGGCGAGGCTACGAAGACCTGGATTTTTTTCTTATTTGATCGTAATCCAAGAGAATTCCTTCCTTTTGGGCATAGTCTGCTATGTAATCCATCTTTTGTTGTTCCGTTTCACACTCTGAGGGAAATCCAGAAGCTTCCTGTTTTAATTTCAAAAACAAATTAACATACCCGTCAAAAAGACCACCTTTCCCTGTTTGTCTGTCGTAGATTTTGGTTTCTGCGAAATCATATATTTCATAAATTTTGAGTATTCGATACCCTTTTGAACGAGCCAATTCTAACTCCGGTGTACACCAAGTTCCTATCATAGATCTGTTTGAATCTGTACATATACAACTACGCTGATTTTCTGTATCTGCACATTGTTTACATAAAGGAAACTTTAATTTTCCGTTCGATAAGTACGGTAAAACAGGATGGTACAGACGTCTCGGTGGAAGAACTTTCACCTTTGCGATACCGAAATAATGTGAGAGATCGGAGAAATTGGACGTGACAATGGTTGGATGTCCGATAGGATATTTTGCATATTTATTAACGCTAGGATACAAACTGTAAGAAAAAGAAAAAAGGAGATAGGGTTACAGACATATAGGTTATTATTTTCTTTTCTTTTTTTTTTTTTCTTTCTTTTATTTACCAACTTAAAAACTCTTTTAAAGATAAAGGGGGTGTGAATTTGAGTTAATAGTTTACCTCCAGTCGAGTAGTCAACACGTTGACATGAAATATCAATGCTATTGTCATATTTTTTTTTTAAATAAATTTACTGTTTGATTGAAAACTATAAATTATTGAAAATACTAAGGATTTTTCTACCTTCAGACACAGATTACTGTAGCCATATTTGGCACACAACCTTTTTGGAATTTTTTTTTTGGTCCACAATGGCTCTTCAACTTTGCCTTTTTTTTTTTTTGGTCTTTTCAATTATTTCCGCTTCTAGCGTCACTTATGGAGTCTTATATATATATATATATATATATAGACGAAACGCGGGTGTAGTAAAAAAATTATAAGCCTGATTAGTATTTTACCTCGTAAAATCGTAATATTCAATCGTCTCCCCAGGTTCCGTGGTTTCATGGTACAATCTTATGGCATTTGTTCTTCCACCGAAAAAACTGTCTCTCGGGTCAAGGCGATCAGTTACCTCGATAGAAGACACATAAGCTCTAATTTCCTCATCTTGCTCCAGTTGTTCCATAAACTCATGTTCCCAGACACTGACGTATTCGTACCCTCGACGCTTTAATTCCGTTTCTTTGTTTTTGGTAAGGTAGTATAGTTCGTTGAGAGAGTGTTTGGTGAGAGGATCGGTGGTACGTGTTCTTTCGTGTGGAAAACAGGACGGACAACCATGGAAACGACATCCTTGTGAAATAAATAAATAAAAAATTAAAAAAAAAAAAAAAACTTCCCGCGACTCATTAAAAAAAAAAGACCGCGGGCGCGCGCGCGCGCCGCTTTCAACACATCCAAAAACACACACACACACACCCTCACAAAACAAACAAACACACACACACAAACAAACAAACAAACTCACCGTGAAATTCGTATGCTATCCTTCTTGTACCTCGTTCTTCATATCCGTCCAATCTGTAATTCGTACCCTGTACTCTATGTTCTCCACTTCCATTTAGAGCATGTTGTATATGAATCGTCGGTTGACCATCTTTTCGTCTGGCGGATTCCATGGTCCATTCTAACCATTGAATTGATATCTTGCTAAAATTGTCTCTCGATACGTAACCTTGCGAAGGGACCAACGCAAGAGGGGTTTTGAGGAAGACAGTCATCGGTTTACCATATCTGTCAGAATCTATCGTATCTTTAGTCACCCAATCACCTTCAGGTATTTTGAAATGTACAACGTTGTTTTCATCAAATTTCGTTTGACACCTTACAGTCTCATTGTTTCGTCTGTCTATAAGGCGAGTTTCATATTCCTCGTCCAAAAACAATTCCCGGTAAATTGCTTGACACGCAGAGGCTATCGTAACGTAATCAAAGGGGTCTATACCTTCCTTATGAGTTACCATTTCACCATTTGCGTTTAATTTTCTCTCCGACGTGACCTCCATCATTAACTGACGAAATTTCATGCAACCACGTCGTAAAATATCTACGTCGGAGACACAGTAGTCGTACATTTCCGATTGAAAGTCAAAAATAGCATTTTGCTTAGACGCATACCATTCCCGGAATTTCTGGACATCCTTCCCAGACATGTTTTCGATTCCGTAATAACTTACTTCGGGATACGGACCTCGATACGATTGATTTTCCTGTGTGTTAAACAAATGCGGAAAATAACCTTTCGTCACCTCTCTCAAACCAAAACATTCTGGTATTTTGGAGAGTTTCATTTGAATGAAATTAAGCGAATCTAGGAAGGTCAGATCCAGTCCTTTAGAAACGTGCATGTAGTTGATTTTGGAACCGTCAAAAATAATTTTGTTCGGTTTGACGCCGTGTTTGTCCAGGAGACAGTTAAGTATGGGATAGTTATCGAATCCCTTGGCATTATGTGCCATCAACACTGTATTTTTATAACAGGGAGTCATGATATGAGAACAAAACTGTTGTGGTACGTCGTTCCCTCTAAATACCCGTTGTCTAAACCCACAACGGTTCTCGCATGGTAACGGTATTAATTTCTTTCGGAGGACGCTACATGTGTCGCAACGGCTACCACAAGAGTTACACTTCGAGTCTTTGGTCAATTCTTCGTTCTGGCATTTGACACATGAAGACTGCAGCACGGCAAAGTTTACCTTGTGTTCCGTTAGTCCACACCACGATTGATCGCATTTCACGCAAAGACGACATTTATCACACCTTGTCTCCAGATTACATTTCACTTCACCGCCTCTTGGTACATATCCATCCGAACACGATGCTTTGGGTTCACCCGCCTCAGAACGTGCACATATTTCATTTCTCATAGGAAATTGTCTTCCACAAGGTACTCTTGGTGCGTAGCCATCTGTGCAAACCATCAATTCGTTTTGCGTAGTTTCAAAATCGAAAAAAAAATATTTTCTAGGTTCGTCTGTGGTCGACTCTCTATTTTTTTGCCGGCGTTGAAAACACAAATGGTTTCCGAATTGGTATTCGAAACAATTTTTGCATTTCCATTCACCGCACTTGTGATCCTCCGGACTTCTTTTTTGTCTGCAGAGGACTTTTTTGCAGGTTCTACACTGATAAAATCTCTCGCACATGGACTTCTCTGTGTCCCTTCCTCTGGTGTCTTTCCTCTCGCGATGGCTAATGTAACAATCTTGATTGCGACATGTTCGATTGCAATAAACGCTCTGCTTTTGGTCTGCACTTGACTTGCAATTTTGACTACCACATACGTCGCACGTATTTATGCAAGAGTGTCTCCCTTTGTTTTTGTAAGGTATTAAACAAGAAGCACAGAAGTACCCGAATCCAAAAAATCCATTAATGCTACCTATTCCGTCGAAATGCCATCCTCCATCTTTGGTGGAATTTTCGGTAAGGTACAGGTAAATATTTTTACGGTCTGGGTTATTTGCGACTCGACAGAACTTGTTACCAAGTTTGGCAGACAAAACCAAAATATTGACCTCAAGCAACTCTTCTAGAGCGTCGATGTCTCTGATCGTTAATGGTTTATTGATTGAAAGGTTGGCCTCTTTACACAAGGTCAATGCCATTGTTTTTCCGTAGGACTTCTTCCCACCACCAACATGCTTGTAGTAGCTCTTCGTTGTCATCCCATGTTTTATGACCTTCATGAACGTGTTCATATAGGGGGGATCGTTCTTGGTTACGTCCTTCCATTTGTCTCCGTGTACCATTTCGCACAGTTTTAGAAAACACCTTCCCACGGCAGTGGCCAAACACAAATGGTCGTCGTTGGATATCCGAAGCATGGATCTTTTCAGAGCTATAGAGCTATTCGGACCACTTAATCTGATGATCGGTAGTGTACGCCCGCTACCGCTTGGTATGGCTATGCGTCCAACAACGACCTTCATCTGCGTATCCAAAGGTAAATTTTCTTCGCTATTTAAGACATTTTCCACAGCTGTCATAACTCTGTTAGAGTCGATGTTGGACCATTTGTCCAATGGTACAACGATGGCATTGTTGAGATCGGGGTGAGTTACGATGACTCTTCCGAGGTCGCTCTCGTTGTTACCTCGAGCTCTGTTAAGAACGTCGTCAAACATTTCGCGTACTTCTTTCAAAATATCTCTAATCTTTTTCCCTTTCCATTGATCGTTGAATTTGATTTTGTACGTCGTTTCTCTCGCCAAATTGTTAGAAAATATTTTTTCCCCTGTTTTTTCAAAGATGTACAGTAACGATTCATCCGTTGCCCCATACCCCTTTTGACTGGACTCACCCAAATGGTTGGTCTGCTTTGTTTGCACCTCTGGTGTGCGAGAAGCTTTCAGTATAGAGATGTTGGGGTTCTGCCTACTTGTTTGTGGAGGATAACTGACTATTTGATTATTTACCGATTCGTGTACTGTCTGATGTTCCCGTAATTTGGATGGGAGATCGATTTTTATACCGCAATGTTTACATGTTTGTAGATATGTGAGTCTGTCTATCACTAATTGGTTCGTCAAAAGTAGATTTTCTATTGCCCAAACGATTAAACTGTTTGCATCCGTAAAGTTCTGTAAAATATTTGTTATGAAATATGTTATTCGCTGTTGTATGACAGGATGGCTCGTTAGATAGTTTTCTTCTGCCCATTGGCGGAGTTCCGGTAAGGAGGCAATGGTACTTACGAAATCCGACAAACTTGGATATTTCTGGCTCATTTCCCTTATTTTTTTCTGTAACAAACAAACAAACTAAAAAGATCATGTTTAATATCAATAATTTAAAAAAAAAAATCAATGCATATAATTTATAGACCCTATTTTTTTCTGCTGCGTCATGATGACAAACCATTTAAGAATTTAAGCACCCAGATCGATTTGCCATGCCTTTTAGCAGAGGTATTTCATCACCTACTCGTTCGCGATTGGTCATGTTGAAAAAGTAAAAATAACGTATAAATATTTTGTTTCATGACAGTATTTTCATACTCACGGTATAACATGATGGGATTCGATAGAGAACGTACCGAATACAGATGCGGTTGCTATTCCGAATACTATTCGCACGATTCATTTGTTTACAACGATTCCAGAGGTGGTTTTGTCAATGTTTGCGGGAAACACGACCATGAAGATACAGCACGAAGTGATCATTTTGAAAATATCAAAGCCGAACGTGTAATAGGAAAAGCTGAAGACGTTTTAACGACACAAATGAAACCCGTCCCGATTATTCGGTATCTAAAGGAACAGAGAATGATTTCCGAGGATGATGCAAACAAGCTGCTAAAATATGATTCAAAGTCTATAATGGTAAAGGAGCTGTTACAGATTTTCATTCAGCGTATATCATTAAATCAATTGAGGTTGACATTAATAAAAACTGAACAGACACAGTTACTTAGATATTTGACAGATTCGGAGCAAAATGAAGAAGAAGACGGTAGTGAAGATATTGAAAAAAGCTACGAAGGAAGATGTATGTTACATCTCGAGGGAGACTGCTATGTCGTTGCCAACGACTATAAAGGCTGTATTTACATCCACATTCGCAAATACATGACAAAAGGATCTAAGAAATTTCCAACTAAACAAGGTGGGAGTCTTACGCTCTCCAGATGGCTGATGTTAAAATCTAAGAAGGATGAGATCGACCTAAAGTTTAAAAACGGACTTGATGGCAAACTTGAAGAAGAAGATTTGATTCATCTAGGAGGTGGTGTATACATTACAATAAATCCAGAATTCCCTACTGTAGAAATTAGACATTTTTGGAGGCCTCAAGATGCACCTAAAGCAGTCGCTACAAAACGCGGTGTAGCCTTGAATAAATTTAAATGGGAACGTCTCTGTTATGTAATGGATTTGATGATAGATTTCGTACCAGAATTGAATAGTGGTGTCATCTGTGAGTCTACCCACGACAACGAAATGGGTATTTTGGCCTGTAAAGAATGTAATCCCTTCCCGGAAACTGATGAAGACCATCCCGTCCCAGAAGCTGAAAACGACACTTTACCACTACCACCACTTCTAGACAACCAAGAGGGGAATCCTGAAATTGCTAACTGAGTTGTGTAAAGAAAAGAACCGTATATTATATATATTATTAAATTATACATCGATTCATCAGGCGTTATGTGTTTTTTTTTTTTTTTTTTATTCTCTCCTTCTGGAGTCATCCCTTTTTTTTTTGTTACAAAGTATATAACACACAAAAGGTATGCACCGTTTAAGGGTTTATTATGAACAAAATGTATCGCTACTTCCTAAGGGAAAGATTCTTGCTCCGATTGGAGGTAGCACTTTGGTATGTGAGACATTCCCATTCCAGATTTAAAAAAAAAGATCAAATCATAAAACGAGTATTAACATGAAAGGTATAAAAACATATTTAATACGTGATTCATTGGTATAACATTTATTACGTTGGTGACTCTTGAATGGGCTAATGAAAATGAGTAAAAAAAAACAAAAAGAAGATTACATCAGAGGTATATGAGACATTCTCATTCCAGATTTAAAAAAAAGATCAAATCATAAAACGAGTATTAACATGAAAGGTATAAAAACATATTTAATACGTGATTCATTGGTATAACATTTATTATGTTGGTGACTCTTGAATGGGCTAATGAAAATGAGTAAAAAACAAAAAGAAGATTACATCAGAAAAATATGGACTGATCCCAGTCATCCTGCAGCATTTGCCGGTCCTGATAAACTTTATAAAATAATTCAAAAAGAGGGGAAGTTCGACATAGGTCGCGGCAGCGTTAAAAGAATTTTAGCCAAAATAGATACTTATAGTGTTCAGAGACCTACTAGAAAAAAGTTTAAAAGAAATAGGGTAATCGTGTCTGGTATGTATCGATGCGCAATGGGACGGTGACCTCGCATCCATGGAAAATGTATCGAAATACAATAAATACAAATTTTTACTGATACTGATAGATATATTTTCCAGGTATCTAATAGTCAGACCGTTAAAGGATAAAAAAAGTACTACAGTTGCAACGGCATTAAAGTCTATTTTTAATCAAAGTAACAGAAGACCATCAACTATTCGTTTCGATCAGGGAGGAGAGTTCAAAGCGAGTGTAAAACAATATTTGAAGAAAACAGGGATTCATGTTTTTTACACCCATAACTCTCAGATAAAGAGTAACTATGCGGAAAGAGTTATCAGAACGTTAAAAAATCGTATATATTCCTATTTCATGGAAAACCAAACGTACAAATATATAGATGTACTTCAGGATGTCGTAACTAGTTATAATAATACTCCACATCAGTCGTTAGGAGGTGCAACACCAACTTCGGTGACGAAAAAAAAACGAGGATGAAATTCGGTACGTCCAATACCTAGCAAGGCAAAAAAATCAAAAACCAATGAAAACGACAGAGCAAAAAAACCAAAAACCAATAAAAATGACAAAATCCAAGAAGAAGAAACGACCTTTCTATAAATTTAATTTGGGTGATCACGTCAGAGTTTCTCAATTAAAAAGAGTATTCGAGAAAGGATATCAGGAAAATTGGACATTGGAATATTTTATGATTTCAAAAAGATTTAAAAGAGATAATCTTGACATTTATGTTTTATTTGATGCCTTAGGTGATAGAATTAAAGGAACATTTTACCGAAATGAACTTCAGAAAATAGAAAAATCTGATACTAAACTATATAAAATCGAAAAAATTATCAAGAAAAGAAAGATAGCGGGGAAGGACGAAGTTTTAGTTAAATGGTTGGGATGGCCTTCTAAATTTAACTCGTGGGTATCCAAGGATGAAGTAAAAGAATTCAAATAGACAGTTTCATTCGTTATTCGGTCATTGTGTATTCAAGATGAGTCTGAGAGTTGTGGTCTCTTCAGCAGACGGGATTGACTTATTTTCCGATAATCAAACTTTTAATTTCAGAGTCAAATTGAATAGAACAATACAGTTAGATGGATATTGGGTTGTGGCACTAACGGAGTTTACTTCTACAGAACAAGTTGAATTACACAAATCATTATTTATTTTTTCGGATATGTGTCAACAAAGTTTTATAGGAAACAACGAGCAACCATTACTTAGAAGAATACAATTTGAGAGAAGAAATCAACGCAATATGATATTTTACAATCCTTATTACATCCCTGTTCGAACAGGCTCAATGGAACATATCCATGTATATATAACAGATGATGAAGTAGTATTTGCTTCATTTCTCAACCGGCCGGTTACACTGACACTTCATTTTAAAAAGTTTCCTTTTGTCCTTTAAGATGAACAGATTGACATATGTAACAGATCCTAGTATGTGGGAGAAATTTTATAAAAATATGGTAAACAGAAATTTTAATCCATACAAATACAAAAACAGTAAAAGAATAAATCAGACAGGGCGTGGTTTACATGGCAGATATAGGGGTTCCTACATGATTCCTGTTAACGTAAATGCTGTGGAGGAGACTGAGCCGATGCAGGGCCCTACGACTATGGTGTCACCAGTTGCTGCTGCAGAAGAGAGAGCATTTTCACAAATGAAAACAGAAACGGCTAAACCACATGTTAAGATACAGAAACATATAAAACGGTCAAGGAAACATAAAATAGTCAGTAGAAAAAAATCGAACAAGCAGTCAACATCTAAACCGAAAAAGACAAAAACTTTCAAAAGGAAAATCAGAAACGATTATTCTGATAGTGTGTGGAAAATCAAAAAGAGAAAGAAGTATTCATGTCTTTTTTGAGCGGGGATAATAAGGATATTGGACAACCTCAGGAATTATCTATTTTTGCATCTCCTCCTAATCAAGTAGCTGTTGAAAAAGTAACATACACGGAAGAACGACCTATTTCGAATTTAATCAATGATTCTACCCCCATAGAAATAGTTGTTTCTGGAGCTGGAAATGATTATATAGATTTAAGAAAAAGTCGTCTATATGTCAAAATGCAAATTTTAAAATCAGATGGAACTAAGCTAGTAGATAATGAAAAAACATGTATCATTAATTTGCCGTTGCAGAGTATGTTTTCACACATTGATATTTACATGAACAATAAGCTTATATCAATAAATTCCAACAATTATCCTTGGAAAGCCTATTTCAAGACGATACTTTCTTCTGGAAACGATGAACAGAATTCACAACTTCAAAGCCAACTCTTCATGAAAGACGATGACCCTATGGACTCTGTGAGTCTCAATTCCGGTATAGTTAACAGAATACAATTTACACAAGATTCAAGAGTATTCGAGTTAGAAGGGAATTTATTGGAAGATGCACTTCAACTGGATAAATATCTAATAAGTGGTGTCGATATCTACATGAAACTTTTCAGATCAAATGTTCCCTTTCTACTCATGTCTGAAGAAATTTCGCCAAGTTACAAAGTCAAAATTTTGGATGTGTTTTATAGAACCGCTAGAGTCAAATTGGACCCGGGAGTTATAATGAACCATCGATACGAAATACAAAAATCACCAGCCCAATACATGATCACTAGAAGTCACGTTATACAAAATGTAATTCCTAAGGGGTCAACTGATTTTTTTTGGGATGTAATGTTTCCGAAAGCTCTTCCATCAAAAGTAGTAATTGGGCTAGTTTCACAAAAAGGTGCAAATGGTGATTATACTGCTAATCCGTTTAATTTTCAACATTTCAACATGACTAACGTTACTATGAAAGTGAATGGCGTGGAGGTTTATGGGTCTCCATTGAGTTTGGATTTTGGAGTAAACAGAAATTACGCAGCAGCATACGTCAGACTTTTCGAAATCAGTGATAAATGGCTTAAAGACATGGGATTGAACATATCATTAGCAGACTTTGGTAAAGGATACACATTCATTGTGTTCTCTTTAGATCCATGTGATTTTCAGGAAGATTATCTGAATTTAGTGAAACACGGTAATGCACGCTTAGAAATCAGATTCGGATCGGCTACATCAGAGATTATAAATTGTCTGTGCTATTATCAATCCCAAGCCATTTTAACTTGTGACGAGACAAGAGACATCAAGATAGTGGAACCATGAATACAGAACAATTGTCAAAGCTACTAAGAACATTTAAAGGTTTAAATGAAACAGTGATTAACATTACAGCGGTAAATGTACTCCCCGTTGCAATCATTAAACATTTTCCACAACTATATATCATTAATACGGATCCATTTCCCAATCCAGGAAAACACTGGATATGCGTTATTTTCTATAATACATCAACATCAGAATATTTTGATAGTCTTGGAAAAGACCCTGGAACCTACAGTAAAGACCTTGTGAGATTTATTGAAAACAACAGTAACAACGACGGGTGTATTTTTATTCGGAAACAAGTTCAATCTAATTCGTCTGATATTTGTGGACTTTATGTTGTTTTTTTTGGAATAATGAGAATTTGTTTTAACATTTCTATCAATTATGTATATCATATGTTTTTTTCGGAAAATTTTTATGTCAACGATGACTTTGTCAAATCATATTTTAAACAGCTTTAAATAAATACATATATACATATATTCTTGGTTTTTTCTCCCTGTTGAAGACAGCATGAATAATATTTCTCATTACTTACATATTAATATCTAGTTTTCGTCGTCATTGCTTTAATTAATGTTGTGGGAGTCCAATTTATACTGTAGTTCCAAATGTTAAAATTAACCTGAGGGTAATATGTAGTGGGGCTTGAATTTATATTGTGTATTACACATGTTACAATTAGCCAGCGGTTAGATGACACGATTACAGCGTTATGATGAGTCATCATATAATACATGACGTCAATGGGGGTTATTGGCATGTAACAATTAGACATCGAGTTAGGTGACACAAGTTTTTTTTAACTCATGTATGACGTCAATGGGTGCTATAAAAAGATGAGTCAGCATTAATATATGGGTGCTATAAAATATATGATGTCATGACTTCATGATAGGAACATGGGTGATAAAGATTAGGATGAGTCAGCATAAATGTATGGGTGCTATAAAATGTATGACGTCATGACATCATGATGGGTTAGGCGTCGTTAGGATGAGTCAGCATTAATGTATGGGTGCTATAAAATGTATGGCGTCATGACATCTTGATGGGTTACATTTTGACCCCTATCTTCAATTTATGACCCCTATATTATATCATATTATGTCATATTATGTCATTTGAGATTATGTAAGATGATATAACT